AAAAATGTTTTCAAGAATGGTATCGCAGATTTAACAAATATGTGAAGTGTAATAGACAGTACTTTGAAGGTGATAAGATTGTTTTGTAAAAAAATTTAAATACATAGCTTTGAAAAAAAAATCCAGTTTTATTGGGGGGTACCCCCTCATATAAACCACATATGCCTGAATGGACTTGGGGCTTGTACTTAATTCTAGCTTCAATCTAAGAACAATCAGTTTTTCTGACATGGCCTTGCTTGATGCTCATCCTCATGAAGAGATCACTGAAGATATCGGTGCTATAGCAGTGTAGTAAAGAAACTAGATGGTGCCCAGCTATCAAAAAGACTAGTGTCTGGTGTCTTAAAGGTATCAACTAAATTCACATGAAAGAAGCACACCAGCCTGTGTAATCCAAAGATTGAAAATAATATAATCCAATTGTAAATGAGGGAATAGCATCAGAGCTTAAATTGTGTGCATTTGGCTTGCAGCAGAAATCAATGGATGACAATGAAAGCCTAAAATCCATTTGCATTTTCAAGAGTGGAGGAAATGAAGATGATCATTTAGTGGCTGCCATGCAAAATGTGATGAGGTCCACCCAAACCAGCAGACATTCAGTCCTACCAGAGTGATAAGCAATACTGATGGGAATATCAAGTAAAGAGGTGAGGAGAGCGTACATGTCTTGGAAAAGACAAGTACTTCTGTTGGTAGATAATAGAGCACATTGGTCCTAGTTTCTGTACATTCCCTGGGGACTCATGCCATGTGCCATAGAATATCGGGACATTGAACCCTGGATCTTTGAGGGGCACAACATACTCCACAAGCCATACCATAGGGATGTAATGTGGAAGCCACAATAAGTGAACTGGGCTCTACCTCAATCACAATCGTAACCCAAGGACTTAAAAGCCAAAACTACATGGTGTATAAAGAAGCAAAAGCCAACTATATCAAGAATATTGAACTGTTAGTAAGCAGGCTAACATTTATTTCCTACTTCATTGTCCTACTTGATTTATGAAGATATGTCTTATCCTGACAGATCTGTATCTGATGTTGACAGTGAATATTATTCTAAGTTTTGCCTGACCACCAACCCCTATTGTTTGTGCAAATAGTATCCAGTCATTTAAAGATTTAATCTGTACAAGTCAATAAAACATACCATATATACTCATGTATAAGTCGAGTTTTTCCAGCACATTTTTAATGCCGTTTTTATGGTAAAATTTGGTGCCATGGCTGATATTCGGGTCATCTTATACTCGAGTATAAACGGTATATTGCAATAGATATATGGATTGTTATAAAAGCTGTAAGAAGCACCAATAAAATGATTTTAAAAAATTTTTTAATGTATTGCGAATTGTAGCTAGACTACACTTAATATTTCTCAATTGTATTTTTTCTCTCAATTGTGTTTTATACACATAACCATAGGCTAAATCAATGACACTATAAACAGAAGGATCTTATGCTCCGGGCAGATGGTGATTAAGATTCTCTACCATAAAATATCAAGGATATTTCTAAGGTAAAGCCATCGGCAGATAGAAAACAGATTTAGGAATGGATTTTGGACTTTCATTAATCCTATCTCCAATCTAAGAACAGTAATTCCTAGACCATGGCCCTGTTTGATACTTGCCCTCATGAAGGAAACGCAGAAGATATGAGTGCTATAGCAATGTGTGATAAGAAATTAGATGGGGAGCAGGGAGGGAGGGGAAAAATGAGGACCTAATGTCGGGGGTTTAAGTGGAGAGAAAATGTTTTGAGAATGATGTACAAATGCACTTTACACAATTGATGTTTGTATGGATTGCGATAACAGTTGTATGAGCCCCTAATAAAATGTTTAAAAAAAAAGAAAAAGAAATTAGATGGTGCTGGACTATCAGAAGGTACAGGTCTGGGGTCTTAAAAGCTTGTTTTCAAACAACCAGTCAGTAAATGACACATCAACATCTGTGATCCGAGGATTATAAATTATATAATCCAAATCCAGAGGAGGAATGGGAACAAAGAATAACTTGTGAAAATCTGGTTTGCAAAAGGCTATGGACTACAGTGGAAGTCCAAAATACATTTGCAGGATCTATACATGGAATCAGCCTCTGGTGATTTTCCTCTGACCATACTTGAGGGATAGAAATAACTGGGTTATCAGAATATTGCAGAGAGGAGTACAGTAGATTAAAATGATAAATGTGACTTGAATGGTTAAAACCTTGTAATTTGATCTCCCTTTGGCTACACTTTGAACTTCATCTGATTTTTAATATTTCCTGGTACATTTGCTTGTTTCCAAACTGGGATTTATCGCTGTTGTATTTTGCTATTGTTGGGAGCCTTCTTGACGGTTTTGTATTTTCCTATGTTTCTTGGTATATGAAACACAGGATGGGTGAATCTACAGAGACAATAACTAGAATTAGGGTTCTTGGGGGTTCCAACAAGGGAAGAAGAGGGGTTATGGTGAGCTGATATCAAGGAGCACAAGAAAGAAGAAAATATTTTTTAACTGATTATGGTAGTGATTGTACAACACTGCTTGATATAACTGAATTATTGAATTGGTATGATTGGTATGATGTCTGCATTATGTCCTTAAAAAAGTGTGTTTATTGTTTTTTAGTCCATTTACAGGGTCCACTCATGGATTAAGCTTTGAGAGAATGATTTCCTCTCATAGTTGAAGGATGTGAATTGCACTGTTATCAAACAGAGAGCACTTGTAAAGTCAATTAGGCAGCCATAGTCAAAATGTAGTATATCTTTTCATTTGATCTTCCTTTTGACCCAATTTAAAGCTATTTCAGTTAAAAAAAAAAGTGAATGGGAAATACACATGAATTAAGCCCTTGTGAATCTCTGGCCAAGGACCAAAAATTTGAGTAACTTGCTACCATGCAGAATGCCTGGAAATTGGATTGTTGTAGATGCAGTTAGGTTAAAATTTAGCACCCAATCATTTGATTTTCCTTATGATCCATTTAAATTTGTTCTAGTTTTTAATATTTCCTGCTTTCTCTGTTTTGTCATTCTTGTTTGTTTTCTAATGTATTTCTGTATATGAAATCCAGGAAAAAATTGAAAAGAAAAGGAGAAAAAAAAACATACATAATTCCAGGTCTGTCAGCTGACCTTTATGACTATCTCACCACTGGTCCTGGGGGACTTCCAGCAGCTGCCTCTCCTAGCCTGGAGTCTATTTTAGAGGCTCTTTAGGGGGCTTTGTGCCTTGGCTTTGCTCATATAAGAAAGGCAATGGTAAGCAAGCTCTAGGAGACAGCAACGAACCATCGGTCCCAGAGGGACTTGGAGGGAGAAGGAGATGGGGGAATGAG